TCTTCCACATACCTCTTTGCACTTAGCGGTGACGTCTTCGGTGGCCTTGTCCTCCTCCCCGCCATGCTCTGGAGAAGGGGTGAAGGGCCTGGATGTCCATGGCGCGGGGCCCGGATGGAGGGCTGACAGATGATGATCACTCATTGATCATCCGCATTGTACAGTGTTTCTCCTAGGATGGAGTCATAGCAGCGGTGCTAAGGCACGTGGGCCCAGCATAATGTGAGCGCGGAGCGTGTGGAATGTTTTAGTGTTTTGCGCGTGCGAAGTGTGCCCCGCCAATTTGTTTCTATGTGTCAGCACAAGAAAGGCTCTTGAGGCCTAGTACCAGGGCCGGTTCTAGACAATTTGCTGCCCTAGGTGAGATTTTAGGCGACATTTTATATGTAAAGAATAAATGAAAAATCTCTACAAAAGACAAATACACTGCAAAAACAGAAACTTATTGACATAGGTAATAGACGTCAAAATGGCTTCAAATGTATTCAGTATTGTATGAACATGTTTGAATTGGGGGGTGGACATCACATCCTCTAGGGGGGTCCGGGGGTATGCCCCCCCGGGAAGATTTGTTTTCTTTTAACATTTTACAGTAACACTGGGCTGTGGTTTCAGACAGGGTGAAAAAAGGTAGAATGAGAAAGATATACTTTTCTTTTCTTTTTTTTCACATTAATGCATGTAAACGTGTCGCAGAAGAGGCACGAAATACAAATATGAACATAACAGGTCCCCTTTAATGAAAGATCTGAATAGTGGTTGTTTATTTTACAGTCGATAAACGAATAGATTAGTCGCCTAATCGTTGCAGCTTTATTAGTATAAGATGAAGACATGATCGGCCATGAATTCAGTATCTCTCTTTGAGTGCAAATATACTTTATAGCTCACTCTTACTCTTCTGCCACCTTGTAAGCCTAATGCCTACAAGTGAAAATGGCTTCAACAGCAGCCCTTAAGGTGCTTAACACCAAGCAGCCTCGCAGCTCCACTGTAGGTAATGATGGCATTATCATTGATCCCACAAAGTAAACCCGGAGCGATCAATGCTCTCCTGTGTGTTTTCCATGCAAACAGCTCTCAGATTAAGCTGAGTGCAGCGCAGAGAAGACATCCTGCAGATTAGGAAGCTACAACTGGAGAGATAGAGATTTAGTTCCCATCCATGTGGTGTTGCTCTGACTCCCAGACTCAGCCACGGGCAGAGCTTTAAGCCATCTTGTTTTTGGCTCCAGATTAGGCCGAGCAACAGCGTTTGCCAGCATCTGTCTGCCATTAGCCCTGTGACACTGGCAGTCTGGCTGCAATTAATCAAGAGAGTTGTGATGTCGCCACTCGGTCACTCTGCACCTCGGGCACATCGCTACGCAGCAGGAGTAGGGTCAGCGTTCAAAGGGTCACATGGCCTTGCAGTTTCTACTGTACATGTTCTGAATAAACCAAAGATCACTGGTCTGTAGGTACTTTGTTGGACCAGAGCATTTTGTCTAATGTTAACCTGAATTGATTCACATTTGACTGTGGCTGAAACACATATCACTTATTTTATCTCATACTGATGCACTGTAGCTGGCTTTTGGACAAGTCAGCCTCTGGTCAGTATCCTGGTAATGTTGTGTTTGGTTGTAAAGTATCCAGGTGGCTCTGTGCTTAGTGCGGCCGGATAACACGACTGTATTCGACAAGGCTTTTATAAAAAAAGAAGCTTAACATTTGCAATTTTCATCTCCTCAAATGTGAATTTTTGCTCCCTTTTTTCTGTTTCATATCAACATAGATTGTCATGAACTGACGTTTAATTCTTGAACATTTTGATAAGCATTGCTCACAGTTTTTCGACCTTCAATCAATAATAACATTTCAAATTGACTTGATTCATTTTCTGCCCATAGTTATGATCGATTAATTATCCAACTGTTTTGATTTTTATATGAGTCTTTACAGCTTTGAGGTGCATTGAGGCACGCAGCTGAAAGGAGATAAGCAGCAGGCTGTCGGTCATTTTGGGCAAGATGAAATCACGTGTCTGTCATGTGTTTTGCCAGTACCTTTTCCTCATTCCTCTCCTTGACACACACACACACACACACACACACACACACACACACACACACACACACACATACACATACACACACACACCAGCTGCGCTGTGTTTCAGGGTAGACGAGGGAGAAGTAATCTCTAAACATCAGAAATGCCCGTCACATGGAGGCAGCACGGAGACATTTTTACTTGACAGAATGAAAGATGTATTTTTTTTTTTTCCAGTTTGTTTTTAAGATGGTTATCTCTCTGTGCTGTAATCTGAACCGGGCAGAAACCGTTACAACCGCACAGGCTTAAATTCACCAGTCGTAGGAGTTGTATCCTTATCAAGAGGAGCTGTTATGTCGGCTTAAGGTAAACGGCACCTGCGTTCCTTTTCTGCCTCTGGTCTGAACCGCATTGCTTTATCAAGGCTGGCGCTCAGTGTTGTGGCTTTCTGTGTTTGATAAAGATTGTTTGGCACTTTGTGGACATCCTCAGGGGCTTGTGCTGTAGTGATTTAGCTATGAAGCTCAGAAAGTAGACTGTCTGCTGCTCGTGGAAAGAAACAATTTGTTCTGAAATGTACACAATGCTCATTACGTAAGATTCTTTCTGAAAGGTGACCTAATATTACTTTCAGTTTGGTTTTTGGTTCTGGTCTCTTTAAATCATCTGTAGGGATGTCCCGATCACCTTTTTTTGCTCCCGATCCGATTCCGATCATTTGATTTTGACAATTTGCCGATACCGATTTTTCCCGATCCGATCTTTATGCAATGCATTAAGAGAAAAAAAAGAAAAAAAGCATTCAAATTGTCCCTTAAGGTTATTTTTTTATTTAATTTGGATATTCTATCCAACATGGATATAGCTTCTTTTTTTCACAGCAGCATTGGATCAGTTCAGTTGTGCAGCATTGGATCAAAACAAAATAAAGCTTATCAGTACTCGTTAGCTTACTGCTACAATTAGATACTGCGCCCACTCTGTTGCCAGATTTGAGAGAAATAAGCAACCAGGTCTATGAAAACAAGCCCCAAAGAAGCAACACATACATTATGTTGTGTAATTTGAAACCAAAACAAAGTCCTCAGGATGACTTTAAGACTTGAACATGGTCATTTTTGTTTTGTAATATTGAATACAAAATTTTAAAAAAGTATTTAAAAAAAAAAAAAAAAATCCCGATCCCCGATTTTTTT